ATACATTATCAACATTTCTAAGTATTTGATTTGCCCACATTTTACATTTGTGATCTGTGTTCTCCAGTATGATTTGAGAATGATCCAAAGAACGTCTTGTGCTTCAACCGAAACAAGAACATCTTGACCTTGACCAAATGAGTTCAGTGACAAATCTGCTGAGATTTCTTTACTTATACACTACCAGTCAAAAGTTTTTGAACAGTAAGATTTTTCATATTTTTAAAGAAGTCTCTTCTGCTCACCAAGCCTGCATTTATTTGATCCAAAATACAACAAAAGCAGTAATATTGTGAAATACTATTCTTACTATTTAAATGAACTGCTTTCTATTTGAATATACTTTAAAATGTAATTTATTCCTGTGATTTCAAAGCGGATTTTTTTTCAGGTTTCTTAGATGAATAGAAAGTTCAGAAGAACAGCATTTATCTGAAATAGAAATCATTTGTAATATTTTATAATATTCCTGAAAAAATGTACTTAACTGTTTTAAATATTGATAATAATAATAATAATAATAATAATAATAAATGTTTCTTGAACAGCAAATCAGCATATTAGAATGATTTCTGAAGGATCATGTGACACTGAAGATTGGAGTAATGATGCTGAAAATTTGGCTTTGATCACAGGAATAAATGACATTTTTAAATGTATTTAAATAGAAAGCAGTTATTTTAAATAGTAAAAATATTTCACAAGATTACTGCTTTTGCTGTATTTTGGATCAAATAAATGCATACTTGGTGAGCAAAAAAACTTTAAAAATCTTACTGTTCAAAAAATGTTGACTGGTAGTGTAAATTTAATTTGATCGTGGTGATCTAATAATATTTAATTTAATAATTTCTTCTAATGTCAGTATTTGTTATTTTCAGGTTTATATGGATAAAATAGAAAGTTGGTCTCAGCCGTTTGGACCTGATTGCACATAAGCCCAACAGAAATAGCTTTTTTTGTGTCTGTTTACTAGTCATGTGCTTTTCATACCAACGATAACTTAAAATAACTTATAGACTTACACACTGCTTAGTGTGTGTGTGTGTCTCTTCCATCATTTACACTAAGGATTATTCAATTGAGCTAATTAGGACCAAGCTGACCTTGTTAGAATAGTGTGTGAATGTGTGTGTGTGTTTTTAGCTTCTACAAGTAAATGTAGGTCAGCTCTCAGGGGTTTACTCACTTTCAGACACATGCAGAATATTTGGACTGTCTTTCTGATGAGATCACATGAACACGAGTCCAGCATGGAAACTGCCCTTTAAAACACTTGGAAAACACACATAAACAAAAACTATGAAATCCAAATATTTGTGGCTTTTAGTTCATGTGGTAGTTTTGAGACAGTCTTTGCAAGTGTAATTCTAAATGTTTTACTGATTCTTAAAGTTAAAATGTGTAGTCTCTTCAAGGAAAATGGACTCCAAATATTGATGACTCATCCTGCACTACTCAATTTTCTGTCCAATCAGATGCTCTCTAGAGTGTGAATGTCCCTCCCCATCACACTATTTGCAACTGTGTAGAAAACTTATGGCAGTGCTGTAACTATATATGAGAAAATGTCCATTACATCAACATACCCGCTAAAATCACAATCCATTTTTTTCCCCATGTTATATTAATGAGTAGGCTATTAGTTCTGGAAATGTGCCTAATTTTCTTTTATTTTCTTTAAACAATATATATTTCAATATATCTTCAAATCTACCTTTAACCTGGGATATGTATTACTTTTTTTTAGGTAAGGGAAATTTTTTTGATATGTCCCAGCAGAACATCCTGTTTCAATAGGAAATGCATCAAGAGAGAAAACTCTTTTCTTGAAGTTGAAGTGTTGTTTTTTTTTGTTTTAATTAAAAAACTCATATCCTTAGGTGTATAATTAATTATTAATTATTATATTAATTATTATTTTGTATTATTGTTATAGTATTTACTAATATTTGAATTAGCTTTTATTTGTATATTTACAGTTTTCATTTTAATTTTAGTTTTATTAATTTAGTTTTGTGATTTTTATTAGTTCTTTGTTGTATTTGAAATATTTTTTATTTCAGTTTTAGTAATTTTAATATTTAGTACTGTAGTACTTCAGCTTAAACTTATTTTAGTTCTACATTTTTAAGTTATTCATCTAATATTTATAGTTTGTTTATTTCAGCTTTTTATAATTAATGAAAACAATTTTTAATGGTTTAGTTTTAGTTATCAGTGATGTGTACTAATGCATCGGCTAATCCCGGTGTTCTGTCCGGGCCCGTAACCTGAGCACGGTTTCACCCCTTAGCACTGCCCTTTCAGACTTACAGTTACAGTAGAGGTGCGTGTAACCTGAGTCAGGAGTGATGGAACCTCAGGGTTTCTGATGAGAAACGAATGAAATTGATTTTGCTCTAATTCCCTCTGTGCTTTCAGAGTCTCTGCAGCATCTGCCAGAGTGAAACACACACAGTCTCTGTAGAAGAGTGTGTGTAATGGAGCTGTGATTGAGTTTGGATCCAGCTGAGTGGAGTGAGACACGTTCATCTTTAACTCCAGAGAGGATGAACAGTCTCTGTTCTTCTGTGAGAGGTCATTGAGGGTTGTTAGATCTTTATAGGAGGTTATACATATAGTTATTAGAGGGGTTTGATTGACGTGAGTGTGTGCAGTGAGAGACACAGAGCGCGCGCACACACACACACACTCACACACTCACACACACACACACACACACACACACACACACAACTCACCACACCAGCTGAAATAATCAGCCTTTGTACTGAGAAAAGAGAACATAAAATTGCCTGTGTGGCCATTGTTTCCTGTCGTGTTTGTTGGTGGTCTCAATAATCAACCTCTCACACAGCTTTCACTAAAATCAATTATTTTTACTTCATGTATTTATTATAAATATAGTGTGTGTTGACTGTTTAAAACTACAGTATGTAATTTGTTGAATTTGTGATTAACTTGAAATATGGCTGTGTTTTTACAGGGCGAACTTAAGCCAAATTTACTCACGTTTTAGAAATAAGAATTGCATTTTGTATCATTTTCATTATAATTAAGTAGATAATCATCTTAAACAATTATCTTTAGTCTACTACAATTTAAAATTTTCATTCTCATTACTGTAATGCAGAAACACATATGTTATTTAAATTGTAAAGTATATTTGCAAAGTAGAATTAGAAGTCTTCCACACATGACATTATCTGTTATACTCTAATTAATATATGCTAATTTTCATTTAGGAAAATCATGCCTAGACAGAAAGGATTTTTACTGTGCAATGCTGCATAAATGCAAATTAGTTTTTTTTTTTTTTATCTTATTAATATATTAGTTTTTGGGCTAATGTTAGTGTGTGTGTATGTGAGAGAGAAATGTGTCTATGTTAAATCTACTCAAAACCGCTGTGTGTTTCTTTGTTGCGGTCAGAGTTAGCATGCTAATCGCTCAGGGAAGAAGAATGGCTTTTGTTTGTGTGTGTGTGTGTGTGTGTGTGTCAAAGTGAGAATGTTGTGTGAACAATACCAGCCTTCAGATTACTCAAGAGATTGTACTGTGTGCCTCTCTCTTTCTCTCTTCCTTGTCCTCATAGTACCTGGTATGTGATTTGAATATATAAAGTATTTCTCATTAATATTCTATGAGGTGCATGCATATGGGTCTGTTTCCATTGGCTTCGCTCTCTGTACAAGCTGCTCTGGGGCCTCTAGGGGCCTCTCTGGTCCCTTGATCACTTCCCTCTGTGACATTCCTGACAATACTGACTCATCTCTGCTCTGACTCTCTCCCTGCATGACTGACGTTATTTCATTCTCTCTCTGTGACAGGATTCTGTCCCTCCACAGTCAGTGTGCAAAGGGACATTTCACCCAAAAATGAAAAATCTGTCATTTATTCAACCTTATAGTTGTTTCAAATCAATAAGACCACAAAAGGAAATCAGAATACTCACATTCTTTTCCAAACTATTAGTAAATGTGGTTGTCAAGCTTCTTAAATGACAAAAATCGCCATAAAAGCATGCAACTTGTACATTATATTCCAATATTCTGAAGTCATTGATTAGCTTTGTTCGGGAATCAAATGGAATTCTCTTGCAATTTGAATATGCGCATAAATTTGTCCCGCCTGCATTATTTAGTTTCGGAGCTTTGGCTAAAGGGAAGATTATTGGCAAATAATGACTTAATGTCTTTTTATTTTTGGTCTGCTAATCCTTTAATTCTGTAAATGTTTGGCTCTGTGATGCAAATGTGGGAGTTGAGATTCTTTCCTCATTTGCATTGTCACTGTATGTGTTAAAGGATGGATGTCTCTCAGTGCAGTGTTGAGGTTTACTGCAGTGTCAGAGCGAGGGTGTGTGTTTATTATGTTTTAGTAAAACGATTTTGGCCCTTTTGAGCAGTTCCTCATGCCTAAAATGACAGACACTCAATGGAACGTTTTGTAAACAGTTTTATATGCAAGTTTCCAGAGGACTGAAATCCCTGAACCCCACTTTATCAATCCCATGAATTCCAGCTGTTTTATGGACTGATCTGTCCCATTTGAAAGCTGCTATGGGCCTGTTTTCAGCTTCAGACCTGATTCAGTCTTGTAGAAATTCTCCCTGCTGAGTTTTAGAGTTTAGTTTGGCAGTAGTTGTTCTTAGGAAGATTGAGTTTTCTTTGGAAATTGAAGGTTCATACAGTGCATTACTGATAAGAAACTCAGGATATTAGAAAACAAGATTATCAACTCACATCCTGTTACAGGAGCAAACATATGGATCACATTCCTAAACATTTACTGATAAACAGCAACTGAGTGCCTGTTTGTAAACCAACTGTAAAGTGAAGAGATAGTTCACTCAAAAATGACAATTTTCTCCTTTAGTTGTGCTGTAAACCATGGTACTTTTTCTACATGCTCATTACAAAGATTGCTTCTCGATTAGCCAGATGTTATGTATAATCACATATTTGTGTAAATAAGGCTGTTGTTTTTGTCTGTAGGCTGTGCAGTCTGACTTTGAAGAAGCTCGTGGTGATGAAGGAACTTGACAAGGAGCTGATTTCTGTCGTCATTGCAGTCAAGATTCAGGTTAGTAATCAGCTTCATAAAGTGTATGTTGTTTTTCAACAGCAGCGTGTCTAGATTTTTTGCAACAAAGAGCACAGCATTTACAAGTTTAGAGACAATAAACATATTCTAAGAGGGTTACAATACATGAGAAATGAATTAAAGTGCATAATATCGTAAAGTGTAATAAAGAGTCATAAATAAATAAAATTTTCGTCAATATAGAATGATGATAAATTCCTTATGGCATAAGTCCACGGTCCAGAAAGCTTTTCAATAAACAAAATCCCAAATTAATGGATAATTGTTTCTTCAAAGTGATGACCGAAGGAACAATTGGGTGAAATACAGATAAAGAGACTGTTTGTGCCTGTAGGGCTCCAAGCGAATCCTGCGCTCTCATGAGATAGTGCTGCCCCCTGCTGGTGGGGTGGAGACTGATCTCGCTCTCACTTTCTCACTACAGGTAAAGATATCTTCAAAACACACTTTTTCAAATTGCTCAGTCATAAATGGCTCTGAACCAAAACTTAGTGAACTGCCTAGTTATCTGCTGCTTACATTGACAGCTGCCTTGCCTGACAAAGAACCTCATAAGTGATTGATTTGGAACACTCTGCATCACTCTTTGCAATGCATTATGTATACAAGTATACATGCTGCACTGATTTAAAATTAAAACAAAAGGAAGATATCATGGAAACAGCCTTTGCTTTGAAAGTTTGTCTATGCCACCTGTAAATGCTCCCTGTGTAGGCAGCTTACTGGGTTTTGAAACAGAGCCAATATTGCTTTTAAGACATCATCATTTCAGTGTGCTCTGAATCATACTAGAGTTTTATTATGAAATTGAGTTGGATGTTTTTCCTGTCTCTCTCCTGTGTGTACATGTTTGTATGTGAGTAGTACCCTCATTTTCTGAAGCGCGAGGGAAATAAGTTGCAAATCCTGCTTCAGCGGAGGAAGAGGTACAAAAACCGAACAATTTTGGGTTACAAGACGTTGGCTGCTGGTTCTATAGACATGGCAGAGGTATTTCGGATTTCTCAGTGAGGTTAATAGTCACTTTTGAAGCATATACAATGCTTAAATGCTGATTTGTTTGTGTGTGTAGGTGATGCAGCATCCTGCAGAAGGTGGGCAGGTCTTGGCTCTTTGCAGTAATCAGAAGGAGTTTCTGGGTAAAGTTGCTGAGATTTGGATCTATTCCCTGTCCAGTCAGCCTATAGACCATGAAGAGGCAGCCATTCTGGGACAGAAAATCAAATTTTCTGGTAAAATCATCCATACATACACATACATTTTTCATTAGTCTATGACATGTCCCCATGGCAATAAGAAATTGTGTTCTTTATGAGAGATGTGAAGTTTTACACTAAAGGTGTTTTTTTCTGTATTGTGTATTTTAGCGTGACAGATTTATCAGATTTAAGCATGAGTTACTGTGCACATTATTCATAAAATTAAGTTAATTTCTTACAAAAATTGTATTAATGATTATTCATCAATTAAATCAATTGGTTTCATATATATATATATATATTCTTTGACCTTAATGTTTACTTGAAGTACACCCTGAGTTTTTTTAATTTACTTTTTTTAATTTACTTTTTTTTTTTAATTACTTTTTTTTAGGGGAAACCCTCATGACCAAATCTCAGTTTGGAAGACCTTCATTATGTTGCTTTTGCATACTTACTGTTTTAATGTCCTTTTATTTGTTTTTTGTTTTTTTATTTAAAGTAAAAATATATCTATTAATGTCCATTTATTAGTTATCAAGCATTATTTAAAAATCATTCTTAGCCAAAATGTCAATAGCAGTACATCACTAGCTGGAACACTGCTTTGACCAATCAGTATTCAGGACTGGGCCTTTCCTTTTTCCTTTTTTGACTTGGTAGATAATTACTCAGAAGAAGAGTATGAAAGCTTCTCATCGGAGCAGGAGGCCAGTGATGACGCAGCACAAGGACAGGTGATTACAAACACCACACAAGCAAAGCAACCTCACTTCCCTCTTTTTCTGCTGACTCGTGTGTGTATATACATGCTCCTCAGGATCTTGAGGATGACGAGTACGAGATGAGGAAACCAAAAAAGCAGAGGAGGTCAATAGTCCGGACGGCATCGATCACCAGGGTAAGAATGCCAGAGAACAATGAGAATTTACTCCCAGTCATCGTGTAGTAAACAGACTGTTAATATGAGTGTGTATGTCTGTGTGTGTGCTTCTCTTTCTCCATTAGCAGCAGAACTTTAAGCAGCGCGTGGTGGCATTGCTCAAACGGTTCAGAGTTTCTGATGAGGTGGGTAAATATAGAGTCTATTTGTTTTTTAAGTGTATAAATACATGTTAGTCAGGTTGTGCAGGTTGACCTGTGTGGTGAACCGATATGTTTTGTACACTTTTTCCCCCATCTCAGTGGACCAAATCCGTGTTTGTGTGCAACTTGGTTTATGTTTAACTAAATGTACTTTACTTTAGATGTACAAAGACCTCTCACCTCTGACATGATAGGTAGTCTAAATATTATCAAGTCATGCCAAGCCACCTGTCATTATAATGTTATTATTAAATAATTAAATAATCAAGTCAGTTCAATTTGATTCAGTTCAGTTCATCTGATAGTGTCAGTGCAGTCAAATCAATAATATTACTGAATTTTAAGTGTCCTTTAAAACCACAACTAAGCATGCCACAAGAGTGGCATGGAACTCAGACTTCCATCAGGTGACAGAAATGGAGAAAAAACCTAAAGAGAAACCAGGTTAATAAATAAGTTGTAGGTATAATAAATTAGTTGTAGGAAGGTGATTTCTTTTCCTGTTGTATGATTCTGTTTAGTCTGTGTTCAGTCAGCGGACACAAGGCCTGACCCTTGCCTGGCTCCACAGATTAATTTAGCCATGCATAATCAGCACTGCTACGGAAACCGAATCCTTGTTTGCCGATAATCTTGCAGAATGGAGTTCTGCACAATGAGAGCAGGACTGACACAAGGACTTAGGCTGTAATATTCTTACTGCTTCTGCAGTGTATAGTATGTATACTGTAAACATTATGCAAATGTATATAAATGCGCTGCTGTAGTTGCCAAAATTGCACAATTTTTACCCACAAAAATGCCCACAATGCAGAGTACTGGATTTGACCCTCGATTTTCACTTTAACAAATTTTTTTGAACCGTTAATGTTGACACATTTGACACATAATTGGTAAAAAAACAAAAAAAGGGGTATAAAAAAAGTTTAAAAATAGGCAGTATACAGTATATCCACCATAGTATTCAGTAAATAGTAAGCTAGTATTTCGTTCCTACACCATTCTATATATTCAACAATTTCGACATATAACCAGTAAGCATGAAAAAAGAAAATGCTGCCCACAGCAAAATAAACACATGGCACTTTGGGTTCAGAGGTCAGTCCTCTTCTGAAGGACAGGAAGTGTGTGGTGATGTGCAGAAGCAGCAGTGACGTCCAGCGGGACAGAAACATGATCTCATCAGCATTATGTCTCAGGTTACTTCCTGTTCTGACAGGACACTGGTTCTTATTATGGCTCCATCTGAAACCTGACGAAGATTTTCACAAATATTTTATATTAAAGGAAGTTATTTAGCATTTAGAACTGTCAGTATGGATATGTTTGGAATTGAATACTGGCTTACAACTTACTAAATATTGCCCAGTATATACTGTATACTGACTACTATTTCAAAAACAGTAGTATGAGAAATGGTATAGCCATTAATCAATGAAACATCTCAAGCAGTAGTATGCTGCATTGTCACATGACCTCCTAATGTTGCATGTTTAATTTAGCAGGTGGAGTCCGTGTATAATATGGAAATGTATTTTAGTCCACTTTGTGTAAAACAGTGTTGTTATTGTGAACTATGCAATATGTTTTCTGTTAATCAAAATAAAGCTGAAATAGAATAGAATATAAATATTGGATGAAAAACTTTGAAATGTTGCCTTGACAAGCCACCTGAAATGAAATGTTTAAATACTGAAATTACTTAAAACTAAAACCGAAATAAAAATAAATTCTGAAAAAAAAAAATAATAATCTAATAGAAATATTTTTAAATAGTTTTTACTAATAAAAATGACAAACATTACTACAAAATGTACAATTAAAATGAAAACTAAAAAAATAAAAGCTAAATATGATTTCAAGAATACATTTCTAAATAAATACTGTAACAGTAAATAACACTGGTGTAAAAATGTTATTTGGTAGTCCAGTCAAATAATAAATAAAGAAAGAGGTAAATGTGAGTTAAGTTTATTTATGCTATATCATATTTAATAAACAATGGTAATTCAAAGTACTTTACATAAAAAATATTTTATTTTATAACCATCATGTAATATGAGTATGTAGTTTATAACATCTATATAGTAGCAGAAAGGACATTAGTGCATTTAACTCAGCAGCAGCTTGTTAAAATCTGTTAAGAAGCCGGATTTACCCTGAACATTGATGGTTGCAAACAAAGTCCTTGATTGATTTCCTCTCTCATTAATAATATCCAGGAACATCACATGCCGCTTTGGGATCGATTGCCCTGCAGCTGAGCCTGAGCATCCTCTGTTCCTCTGTTTCATCAGATTATGCTTGACCCTCTGTCTCACCATCCCTCACTCTTCTGCCCTGCACATTCATGCAGTTCAAATGAGGAGTAAATAATGTTTAAATGTTTGTAGGTGTTAGACTCGGAGCAGGACCCAGCCGAGCCGCCTCCAGAAGTAGAAGAAGATCTGGATCTGGAGAGTTTAGAGTTTGAGAATCCGAGTGACAGTGGACCAGATCTGGACGATGATGAAAGTGTTCTCAGCACCCCAAAACCCAAACTCAAGTATGCTAAGAAGAGAGTTTGTTCATTAGTGTTTATTTAGTGCCATATCTGTTAATGTTGAGATGTGTGTTATTTTATTAACCCTCGTGTGTTTACCTTTTTGTGTCTGCGTGTGGTTTAGGCCATATTTCGAAGGAATTTCTCTATCCAGCTCTCAGACAGAAATTGGCAGCATTCACAGCGTTAGGAGTCACAGAGAGCCACCCAGTCCAGTAAGAACTCATTCATGTGTTTAGAAGATATTTAAATGCACACATAACATACACTTAAATTGACTTGAAATAAAGCTAATTATACTAACCTAATACTAACCTTTTCCAAATATATATGTGCCATTCAAAAGTTTGGGGTCAGTAAGTTTTTTTTTTTTTAAGAAATTGACATTTTTATTCAGCAAGAAAACATAAATTGATATTTAAAATATAATATATATATATAATATATAATATTTGTTATAAAATATTTATTTTTCAAATATGTGCTCAGAATGCTAAAAATTTATTTCCACAAAAATATTAAGCAGCACAGCAGATTTCAAAATCGATGGTAATAAGAAATGTTTCTTTGTTCAAAATCAGCATATTAGAATGATTTCTGATGAATCATGTGACACTGAAGACTGGAGTAATGGCTGCTGAAAATTTTGCTTTGCCATCAAAATTATACATCTAGAAATAATAAAATAGAAAACAGTTATTTTAAATTGAATTAATATTTCACAATACTGTTTTACTGTATTTATGATCAAGTTAATGCAGCTTTATTGAGCATTAGAGACGTCTTCAGAAACATTAAAAAAAGTCTTATTGACCCAATGTTGGAATGGTAATATATATATATAGACATTTCTTTTTAACCAGTTTTCCCCATGAGGAGGACGTATAAGCTAGGTTAGAAACATAAACACTTCAGTTTAATCACTCCTGAGCTAACTCTCTCTCTCTTTCTCTGTTCAGATGGATCCTGATAAAATAAGGGCTGTAGGTGGAAAGTTTCAGATGGATAATGAATCTGATAATGTTTCAATGGTACATCCTTCACTAATATAAGATATTCACTGAATATCAGATCAAGACTTACATGTGTGTTTTGAAATGAGCTCTGGCAGACGCTCTAAAGCTGAATCACAGCTAATGAATCACCCAATCTGAAACAACATGTGGTGTGGTGGCAGCAGTGCAAAACAATGTCATTTTGTACAAGTGTCAAACTCGGATTAGGAAAAATATCAAAAATTATATCATATACCTTTTCTGCCAATATACCTTATTTGGCCTTTAAAATGTGCCATTTTATTTGACACTAAGTATCTTGTTTCTTTTGCTGCCCTTTCTTGTCTCACAACTTGTGGATATGAGGGTGTTAAGACAAATTTCTGTTTAGTGAAAAACTTGGTTATTTTACCCAGCCTTAAGGCTGTATTACATTGTATAATGTGTAACGTGTTTTATTATGTGTGTCTTTGGGCTTTAGGGTCATCCTGAGGTTGTGACCCCTACCACTGAACTGGAGATGATGGACAACATGGACACTTTTATGGAGAGATTGCCTCCTACTGGCCGGATGACCAAAACAGAGTCACTTATCATTCCATTCAACCGGTGAGGATACATAAACCCTTTATTACTGCGGTTAGATGAAGAGAGTATAATATATCTTACCTGTTAAAGATTACTGTCAAGGTGCCGTTAGGCTTGCCGCGATAGACGGTGCTGACGGTGATACCGGTGTTAAGCCGCAACACCGGTTACGTCACTTGCCCCATCTATGTTCGTGAGAATCATTCGTGATCCTGCCTCATCTACAGAAGATGTGAGTATAATGTTTTGTAATGAATCTTTGCAAATCGCCTTTCCTAATAATGTGCTAATTAGCAAGTTTCACGATGAATGCAGCTAAAGTACACAGTCTCTCTGAGAGCGGCTCGGAAGGGAGGGGCGGGGTCAGCAGAGCTCATTAACATTTAAAGGAAAATGCTACAAAAACGTCTTGATCTGAAAAGAGCTGTTTTTGACAGGGTAAAAAAGGTGTTTTTTACACTACCATTGAGAAATTTTAACCAAACTATGTTACAGACTTTTCATTAAGACCCTAAAGAATCATATCAACTTGTGGAAAATGGGCATCCTATGACCCCTTTAAACAAAGCTCCCTCTGGTGTGTGTTTTTGTCCACCCTGTTTAGTGTTTTTGTTTTTAAAAACCTTCTGCAATATGAACAACTTTCTCTCTTCATCTGAAGGGTGGAGCCAAAGTTGGCAGGGCGACGGGGGCGGAGCACATCACTTAAAGAGAGACAGACCAGTCGACCGCCCAATGAGAGAGCCAACAGTCTGGACAATGAGCGTTTGCTTGACACACGCTGCCACCTACAGGTCAGATAGAACCTCTCTGCACACTACAAATACTCCAGTTACTAAACAGAAGCATCCGTTTAGCCGCAACTAATTTTGGTCTCTGTTTGGTTTGTGTCCGGTTAGATTCCACGCAAAACGGTTTATGATCAGCTGAACCACATCCTGGTGTCAGACAGCCATCTTCCCGACAGCATCATCCTCATTAACACCTCTGACTGGCAGGGCCAGGTATGAATGACAGCTGTCAACACAACATGAACATGAACAACACAACATGTTTCTGTGATGGCACATATTGCGAATTATCAGCTGTTGATATAAAGCTTACATATTGTACATTTTGCTATCATTTTATATAGATTTTTATTTATAAAGATAAAGCATAATACAGTTATTTTTGCTGCAAATTCTACAAAAACACACAAATTGTTTTTTTTTGTCTTTCATAGTGTCCAAAACTGAAAAATACAAAAAATAATCAGTATAAAAAATACAGTAAAAAATATATATTTGCAATTTAAAAAATAATTTTTTAATATATTTTCAAATGTAATTTATGTGATGGCAAAGCTGAATTTTCAGCAGTCATTACTCCAGTCTTCAGTGTCACATGATCCTTCAGAAATCATTCTAATATGCTGATTTACTGCTCAAGAAACATTTCTTATTATTATCAATGATGAAGACAGTGGTGCTGCTTAATATTTTTTGTGCAAATCGTGATTGTGGAAACTTTTTTGATTTAATGGAAGGTCCTCATTTATTTGAAATGGAATTAACAATGTAAAACTCTACTGTCACTTTTGATCAATGTAACGCATCCTTACAAAATAAAAGCATTCATTTCTTTTAAAATAAATTATACCGACCCCATAATTTTGAATGGTTGTGTATATTTTAATAACCATGACTAAATTAATTTACTAAATGAAATACTTAAATGAAAATTGTAAATTATAAATATGATTCATAAGCATTTGGAATAATAAGCCTGCCATCAGTACAAAAACCGACTGACTTATGTAACCCTTTTCCTGTCTTTTTGTCTCAGTATGTATCTGAGGTGTTACAGAATCACGGTCTTCCTGTTGTGTGTACGTGCACCACGGCTGACATACAGGCTGCGTTCAGCACCATCATCTCTCGCATACAGAGATTGTGAGTCAGACGCTTCATTTCTTCTTCATACTTCTGCCATTTGGTTTTTTTGCCATTAGGTTTTTTTAGGATAGGGACACACTATGTCCTTATTTCTCCTTTTCTCTTTCTCTCTAGTTGTAACAGTAACTCAGTTACACCGTCTCCTGTGCGGATTGGAGTAGCAGGAGCTCAGCATTACCTGTCTGTCGTTTTGCGTTTGTTTGTGGATCACCTGACACATAAAACCCCCGACTGGCTCGGATACCTGCGATTCCTTATCATCCCTCTTGGTAAGTGCAGGAATCATGGAAAATAATGAGCAGTCACTGGCCAATAAAACATTACCAGAAGAGCTAAAAAAAAACATTTGTGTGTGTAGGGGTTCATCCAGTGGCTAAATATCTGGCCAGTATAGATTACAGATATAACAACCTGTTCCAGGACTCAGCATGGAGAGATCTTTTCCACAAACCAGAAGCACCAACATCAGGTAACCTTCTCTGATATACTTATTCACTCTTCATTCTATCCATCTGCAAATGTAAACAAATAAAATATGTACTCTTTCATATAATATATAATTATTTATTAATATTATAATGATATATAATTAGAAATGATTAAATAATAAATTAAATATATTATATATTAATAATTATAATATTAATTATATTTATTTTATTTTTATATCAAATAAATAATTCATAATATCAAATATATTAAAATTTGTATTTTTTTCTATATAGTGTAATATACAGTGTTTTACTTCTTAATAATGTTATTTTTAAATATATTAAAAGTGTATATACATTTACATGCACGCACACATTTTTATAAATGTATAAAAAATATTAACATTTTCTCTTTATTCTCTGTCAACCTTCTCCAGCAGTTCAGGACAGTCCAGATGTGGTTTCCAGGGTAACACAGTACATGTTGGGAGCAAACGGAGCTCATCAGCTGCCCATAGCAGAGGCCATGCTTACCTATAAGCAGAAAAGGTGATACACCATGCACAGAGCAGCCCAGATCCATATTTTTATAAAAGAGTTAAACCTTTCAGAGGAGGCAACATAAATGTTTTGTGCAGAACACACTGAATATGAAATATCAGTGTGATTGTAACATGGTTCCACTCTATAATAAAACGTATTCAAAGATTATGACTATCCACAATTGTATTTGGCTAAATACAATTAAAAGAATATCAATAATCTCTTGATATTAAAGTGCTTTGAATATGTGTTATTAGAGGCTGGGTTCATTTTCAGATGCTTTGAAGATGCAGATATCTGGTTTTCACTCAAAAATGCACTCGATCCATTTTGTTCGTTTTTCCAGATATTTGCATCTTTTTCATGAGCATCCTCCTAGTGTTGCTTTCGTCAATGAAAATTATGACTAAATATTGTCGTCAACGAACCTTTATCACGTGACGAAAACGAGACGAGACGCAACGTAAATGCTGGTCATGTGACGATGACTATAATTAAATGTATAATGCAATATTGTTGACGAATAAAATGTCTCTTCATTTTCGTTGACCAAATGAGACGAAACGAAATGTTATAACGTTATTTCGTCTCGTTTAGTCGCGTTATTATTATTATTTTGCAGTATTTCTGTTTCCTGTGTCTCACTTCAGGGGCTGCATCAGGTCGCACTGCGCAGACGCAGGCGACGTCACTTCCTTAAGCCCCACTCGCGGCATTATTTAGACCAGTGTTTCCCAACCGGGGTGCCGTGTAAAAAATCCTTTTTTAATATTTTTAAATTGCTAAAATGTTCAAAAAAGCAGCTATTATATAATATCCATTTCTAATGTCGCCAATAATTAGAGATGCACTGAAATTCCGGCTGCCGAAAAT